AATTAAAAAGTAAATATTTCTTCGCTCAATCTTTCTGTTTACAAGAATTAATCATTGAGCTACATCGACTGTGACGGACTCTTTGTAAGACATTTCGTTGTTCATAGACTGGTGGCCAGATGTTTATACATTGTTTGAAATGTTTTGATTAAATTTGAGACCAATTAATGAGGTCGACTATGCCGTTGAGAGTTGCCTCATAAATCATTTGACTTGCGTTTAAAAAAAGCTAAGTAAAGATAAAATGCGATAGATATTGTAGGTCAAATTTGTACCTTCTATCGTTTTCACACTGTGAAGGTGAGAGAATGACACACAAAGAGCGCTAGTAGTCGTATTCGACAACATTCAATTGAGGTAATTTGGTGAATGATGACTAACAGTGGAATTTAGAAATGTGCATTTCGTCCTGTTTGAGACCCGTCAGATGGATGCATGAGTTATTAGTTCAGTAGTAGAACACTAGCCAACCATGCAATTGATCCAGAGTTCAACCCCCTACCGATGCCCTCGCCGCATAGTCCCGTAGCAATCCCGGTAATGAGGGAGGGTTGGCCCGATTTTAGTAACACCAATGCTGTTTCTGCTGGAACTTCAAAGCTGAAGCTTGAAGCCCTATGTTTCACACTTAGAACTCAAAGGATTCAAATGATAAGCAATGATGCATCTGGATGTACCTGTATTCACAAGTGAGCCATCAATGGTGTTCTGACTGCGACCTGTACCCATTGCCGGTCGTTTCAAACATAGAAGCCATGAAAGTAACTTTTTGTACAGCAGGTGTCAGTTGTCATTTCAGTACAATCAATCAGTGAACAATCAAACTTGAATTCATTGAAGTAATGCTGAGAGTGACTTTACGTTTGGTTGCTTATGGTATTCACTCATATCGTTCAACTCTTTATTAAACTGTCATTTAGTACATAAATGAGGGGGAGGCTTGGCTGGTCAAAGACTAAATTATAATCTCAGTGAACCAGAGAATTATCCATAGTTTGTATTTTTAAAATTAGATATAAAGCCCACCCCTTTTTTGTATTGGGTTTGGCAGCTTTACTTTATCAGTCATACAATGATAACAATTTTAATTGCAGGATCTTTGATGTTACCTCCTGGATTATCAGCTGGATTGTGAGGAGCGAGGAGATAAGAAAACTTCGCATCGATAAGAATACTCTAGAAAATCCGGATTTCACGGACTATTTGATTCTAATCTTATACAAACTCAAGGACCTACAGGTGAAAACCAACAAGCCGACGGAAGAAGATGACAGAAAAGCCAGGTCTTCAAGTGTCCATAGATTGGACGGAGTTGACGGAGATAACTAACCAATGAAAACAAGCCTCAATAACTATTCACGGAACAAATTTGAATGGGGATCACTTCCTTTACCTGTCTCAGAGTCATCGTTTCAACCACAGATAGTCGGCATGGATGAAGATGCCTAAATCAATCGGCATGGGAAAGGCAAGAGAGACACCTTCATCATTCTGAAATCAGCATGGAAGTCTTCCACACTCCCCCGAAGCACAAACAACAAAATTCAATTTGTCAGTACCAATGTTAAATCAGTAAGTCCTCCTATATGGGTCACTGAAATCAGCCGGCTGCAGACTTATATCAACAGCTGCCACCTTCACTGCCACTGTTCTAATGATCAGATGGCCAGCTAGAAAGAATTATTAGGACGAAACTCTGGGAACGAACCAACGGACTTCAAACTGAAGTATGCACAGAAAAAGCTTCGCAAATCAACCTTTTAGTTCAGCGAACACAACTATATCAAAAACGAACCAATCAAGAACTTATTGCTCAGCAAATATTCCGAAAGGAATGAAGATAAATTGGGCACATACGGAGAAGACCGTCGAATGAGATTGCGCGCCAGGACGTCGCTCGAGTGGAACCCGAGTGGAAAATGATGAGTTGAGCTTATATTCTAAGGTGATATGAAGGAGGAGTTGAACGACTACGGGAAATCCTGTGTTCAGCTAATGAGGATGACAGAGAATAGGACAGAACGGATATGTACTGTTGAAGCGCTATGTTTCACTTGGAACCCAAGGAATTAGTAATAATAACATTATATAATCTTCTTGTTAAGATCAATAGTCATTAGGTAGAAATTAGAATTTATAGGTAACCTAGTAGCCAAATGGTTAACGTGGTCAACTCGCTGCCTGGGGGTCTTGGATTCTTTCCCTGATGGAGTCATAAGTGAGTAACGCTGAAGACTCTAATTAGCTTTTCAGTGCTACCTAGTGTTTCTAACTGATGGAAGTGAGTGCTAAAATCTACACAGAAATCACTATTATTATTTAAGTGTTGGTTTGTAGGGATTTGGTTGGTTTCAGGATTTCATCATGAGCTGACATTAGTAAGAGAACCATTGGAAAACCTGCAGGGAGTACTGGACAGCTGTTTCGTCCTAATTTGGGACTCTTCAGCAGTACGCAACCACCACAGGAGGTTCGAACCCAGGACCTTCCGGTTACAAGGCGAGCTCGTATACAATCAAGCCACTGGGACCCGATCCAATGGTCCTTGAATTCTAACTTCTGCCAATGCACGACATTGCGTGACCGCTAGCCAATGTCTTCGGCGAGTATTTGTCCTCACACCCAACCCGCTGCACCCTACTGGTCACGACTTCCCACTGGAACCCAGGTAACTACCTACCTGAATAGGGCCAGTCGCCAGTGAGCATCTCATTGGTTTTTAAGTGTTGGTTTGTTATTATTATTATTTTAATTGGTAGTTGGAACCTACCGATTTTGCTGACGTTGACCGAATTCTGTCAGCTAAGTCAGCCATGTTATCACAGAACTAGGTGTCTCACCATGATGGTGCACTTTGATTTTACATATTAGATAGTTTGAGGCCTCTTGTGTGTGTGTAGTATTCAGTACGCTTTTATTATTTAAGAGACGGTGGAAACGTAGTTGATTCGTCTAAGCAGTCGGCTTTGAGCCTAAAGGTCACAAGTTCGAGACCCACTCCGAGCGCTTTAGCCTAGAAAAAGCGGGAGGAGCTAGTCTTGAACTTGTGACCTATAAGCTGAAAGTCGACTGCATAGACCAATGAAGAGCGTTTCCACTATTTCTAGAATATCAAACCAAAACTCCAAAGCAACGAAACATTACTTGTCCCGAAAAAGAAATTTTACACAGACCTGGATTTCAAGGGACACAGCCTGTGATATCCTTAGGAGGAGGATTCCAGCATCTTTGAGAAAAACATTCCTCATCTCAACAACGCTAAGTGTAGTGTTCTCCAATCAGCTGTGCATTGATCCACAGAAGCCTTTAGGAAAAGACCTCACATCTGACCATTTTTATGTGCATGTGTCAGTTTACCCGCCGCTGTGGAACCACCAGCTAGATACATTGATCGTTCGACGAGTATTTTCTCTGAATGAGTTCGAGAACAGTATCCCAACGCATGACTGCAGAAAGATGGTAGTAGTTGATCTACAAGGAGTGCGATAACTAAACACTTTATCAACATTTGTCATTCCATCTCTAAAAAGCATTTTCTTCAAAGAAGTCAACGTAGTAGTTAAGAATAACCTGTCAAATAGCAGTACACTTTCGTCTCCTATGAGCATTTCTGAGGCTCTAGCCATTCACTTATAAAAGCCAGAGTTATGCGTACAAAAGAAAATTATTCAACCATTTCTACTATCAATGTAACACAACTGTGTTGACTTCTAGTGACTTGGTTCTTGTTTGTTTGTTTGTTCATTTTCTCCAACCCACTGGAACTGTTGCATAATTCCACGCTTTCCTTCGTTTCTCTACACATCCTGATTACAACTCATCCAGTCATTAAACTATTCATCTTATCACATAACTCGAAGATGGTTATTGAACAAGTGCTTTTATTCATTGACTAATATTGACGACCATGTTTGTGACAACTCTTTCATCACTTGTATCACTGACGTCTTTCATGAAAACCACATTTTATGCAGATGCGATTGTACAGGTAGAGAGGAAACTGAATTCGTCACCGAAAAGTGCCTGTCCACTATACTATTTGTTCTGTTAATATATATATATATATGTTAACGGGCAATGAGGAAACAGGTATAAAACGGACTCACACAAAAATCTTGGGGATCTGGACTTCGCTGATGATGATATATGTTTGATTTCCCACTCACTCGAAGATATGCAAGTGAAAAGCAACAAGCTGGCAGATGAAGAAGCATCCAGAGAAGATAGGACTTCAGGTGAACATAGAGAAAACAGAGTTGATGAAGATTCCTGGCCAACACCAACAGCAACAACAAAAATAGACTACAGTCAGCCTGCATAAATGGGAGGGATCTAAAAAAAAACCTCCTTTACCTACCCAACTGCGAAGCATCGTTTCGACTACAGGCGGAACTGACGAGGATATCAAAGCCAGAATCGGAAAAGCAAGACAGGTTTTCATTACCCTTAAGTCTGTGTGGAGGTCGACAGCACTCAGCATCAAAAATAAGATCCGGATTTTCAACTCCAATGTGAAGTCAGTGCTACTCACGATACGAATCAGAGACTTGGCGCGACATAAATAGCATCTCAAACAAACTTCAAACCTTCATTAACAGTTGTCTTCGCTCAATACTCAAGATCAGATGGCCGGCCAGAAAAGATCAGCAACAGGGATCTCTGACAATGAGCGAACCAACCAGGAACCGATTGTGAAACAAATATGCAGGAAGAAATGGAGACGGATTGGATTGGCCATACATACTCTGAGGAAACGATCAAGTGACATCACTAGACAAGCCATTGCTCGAATGGAACCCGAATGGGAAGCGGCAAGTTGGTCGTCACTGTGAGGGTGACTTGGAGGAGGTGATGTGAAGAGGAGATGAAAGCGTGTGGGCAGACTTGGAGTGGGGTGAAAAAATTGGCAGGAAACCGAAGGCAATGGAGACGCGTGGCTGAAGCCCTATGTTCCTCTAGGAATTAAAGGATATATATATATATACAAAAAGGAAACTTACGTCGTATCTGGTCGAGTACTTAAAATATCAGTTATGTTTAATTCAGGTGGGACATTGATTTTCGGCGTAATATAGACTGTTACATCACCCATTTCAAAAGATTCCAGATTATTGATAGGAGAGTAGTGGAAATGAAGCTTATTGAAAGATGAGAAGACACGAATAGAAGAAGGGAGAACAGCCCATAAATAAACAGGTTACAAAAAATTATTTATAGTTTTCCAGAACAAAAATAGTTAGAAAAATTGTGGTTTCAATAAATTCTACTTCAGGTTCTATAATTATAAATTGATTAATGTAAGAATACAATCGCCATATGTATCATTGATATAAGAATAAAACTTGTGCACTGTATTAGAGTTTAATTCCATTATGGGTAAAGCTTATTTTGAAAAATTCTCACATTGTCATACAGTGATGTTTACTGATGACCACAGGAGAATTTATCAGAATAAATTTTTACTCATAATGGGTATCATATCAGAAATGTGTGTTGTGGAACAAGTAAAAGATGGGATGAAACAATAGTCAGTTAGTTTGAAATATGCATGCTCAATATCATTCAGCCACTGGGATCCAATTCACTGGCCAACCCATGAATTCTAACTTCTACCAATTGGTGATTTAGCGCGACCATCAACGACTGTCATCGGTGGGACAACTATCTTCACACTTATACGAGCTTGCCTTGTAACCGCACGGTCCTGGCTTCAAATCCATGTGATGGGTGCGTAATTTTGGTGATCCCCAAACTAGGATGAAACATTTGTCTGACAGTACTCCATGTGGCTGGTTTTCCAATGGTTCTCTAACTGATAACAATCCGAGATCAGCTCGTAAAAACAGATGTAATCCTTAAAAAGCAACTATCGAAAATTATTACTGATGTTTGACAATCGTTCACCAATAGTACTTTTAGGTTTACACCACTTCATTGTTATTATTTTACAATCATCATTATTATTGCCGTTATTTTCAACTCTGAACTTATGTCTAGCCCTCTCCATTCGTTGGTTTATTTTCTGTAGTAGTCATATTGTCTCACACAACACTCACTCTGGAAACCTGTATTTTTGTTGACTATATATATATATACGTTTAAGTATTTCACCGCATTTTATCTCATATTCTCGGTGAGCATGCATACTCAAAACTAACTGACTATTGTTCCATCCCATCTCATACTTGTTTCACAATAAACATTTCTGATATGATTCTAATTTGTCTTTATTAGCTGGCTATTGTATGTATTACATTGGTTTTGTAGGGATTATTGTTTGATTGGTTGGAGGGTGTGATCATGAATTGACTGACGTCAGTTAGAGAAACATTGGAAAACCGGCTGGGAGTACTGGACACAAATCTTACAAAACCAATACTTGAAAATCAATCTGATGGTCACTAGCGACTGGCTCTATCTAGGCAGTTACCCTGGGCTTCTAGTGGGAAGCCATGACCAGTAGGGTGCACCAGTTTGAAGGTGAGGTAGTACCTCATCAGAAAAGAAATTAAGAAGTGGTCACGCTATGTCATGAATCGGCAAGAGTTGGAATTCATGCACTGGCTGGCCACTGGATCGAGTCTCAGTGGCTAAATGGTCTTCGGACTAGCTCGCCTTGTAATCAGAAGGTGCTATGTTCGAACTCATGTGGTGGGTGCGTGCTGTTGAATGGTCCCAAGCACAAGTCTGACGAAACAGCTGTCTGACAGTACTTCCTGTGGCTGGTTTTCCAATGGTTCTCCAACTGATATCAGCTCATGATGAAGTCCTCCAACCAATCAAACAATAATCCCTACAAAGCCAATATTTGAAAAGATGAAAATGTTGAGCAATCTGGTATAACAAGAATAATTGAGAACAGCATGATTGTCAATTGGTTAGGTCTTAATTGACCAAGGAAGGGATTTCTGCAAGACGTCTTCTGAATGTATACTTAAGGCTTCATAGTTCAAATGCTTATCTTCTCTGCTGTATGCAGCAGACGAATATGGAATCCATTGGAAAATTTCGATGATATGCGATGCAGCATCATGAAGGCTTCTGTTTTTTCCACTGAGTAACCGCCACCAACTAAATGTAAGAATAGGAGCTTACGATGGCCTTTGTTTATCCTTTCTCAAACCACAACGGGATATGTTCAATAAAATGTTGGCTAAGCTGTCTAGTTGTACGCTGAATACAACTATCACTTCAGGAGAAGCTGAACTGATAAGTACTCAAGTTGCCATTGTTTGAAACTTTTAAAATTTTCGTCGTTTTTTATCACAATGAGTCAATCTCTGTTGACGCACAGACTCCCAGTAAAGATGCTGCAGTCATACCTTGAGATAATCATAATTTTTTGTGTGTTAATTTCGAAACTCATTACGAGTACTATTAATCACTGGGATGCAACTGATGAATTCTGAATATGACAAAGCGTCTATCCTGTGTTCAGCTGTTAGTTAACTCCAAACAACTAACATCAATTTCATCTAATAAAAAGCTTGAAATGTCCTACTGAAGAGCCAACAATAGACAACGATAGACTCGGACTTCAATTAAACTGAATGGAGATTAAATCTATTGTCAGCTTTAGTATAGGAATTTGACAAATACTCCTTCCATGCAGACGTCAAATGTTTCTAGTCTTCAGGCTGACGATACATCGAAGTATCTGGTGGTAGCTGCCATATTCATTTTGGTTACTTCAAACATAACGGAATAATCTCTTCTCTAGCGAAGTCCAACAATACCATCCCAGGAGTGCGAACTCTCCAATGATCTTGAACGCATGCCAGTCGTTGGTTAACGGCACCTGTCATTATCATAACTAGAATATCAACGCTATTCAGCAACCATGATGCAAATGTCACCCAGTACTGTTTGGACAATGTGTTAGTAGTTCGTTAGGGTTAAGATTAGGGTTAAATTAAGTACTGGGGTTAGGGTTACGATCAGGCTCATAATTAGGGTTAGGGTAAGGTTTACCGTTAGGATAAGGATTGTAATTCGGGTAAGTGTTAAGTCTAGGTTTAGAGTCAGGATTAAGGTTAGGGTTACAATTAGGGATAGATTTAGAGTTGATGTCTCATTTATTTTAATTTGTTTTCTTATCCACATTTCCCTGGTAAGTGGTCATCGATTGTCTTACTGCAAACCATAGTAATTCAATAGAAGGCCTTTGAGGAAGACTGCACAACACGATAAGAGAGATAAGTAATTCACAAAAACAGATCATCTGCAGTCACCTCAGTCAATACATGTACATAAACTAGTCTAACTTAGCAACTGACACTCCTGGGACGTATTTTTAAATCATGCCAGAGAAAGATATTCTGTTTAATGTGTTTTCATGCATTTTCTTGTAAATATACGTAATATATTTTGTGCAAAATTCCTCACTTTTATGACTGGCTGGCTCAAGGTCACTCGTGCATTCTCATCCCTTGGGACGCTTTTGCTCAACTTGGTCCTTTTTCTTGATGTTAGTATCTAAAATTCAAAATGCTTTCTATGGCGTTTGGCTTTTAGATATTTGATTTTACCTAGTAAGTATTCCCCCGCCCCCCCCCCCTAAAAGTTGCACCTAACGATAAGAAATCGGAAGCTGAGATATTATTTTCAAGGCATTATGCTAAATCATACTTCAGGCAACTGTACTTAAGACATCCTGTGTCTAAAGTAGTAACCCACTTGAAAATCTTAGAAGGATTAACATCAGTTAGAGAACGCCTGGAAACCAGCAGGGACTAGTGGACACCTGTTTCGTCCCAGTTTGAGATCCGTCTACTGTACGCACCCACCACTAGAGTTCGAATCGAGGATCTTCCAGTTACAAAGAAAGCACATACACCCATTAGCTACTGACCTGACTCATTGGCCCGTGAATTCTAACTGCTACCATCTGAAGGGAGTGGCTGGTTATCAAGCTGAAATCAAGAATTAGTAGAAGTTGGAATCGACGGGCAGGCTATTTCGCCGGGTCCCAGTGACTTGTGTGCTTTCAGAATGAAACAGTTATTAGTTCTCCCTTGCCCTAATAACTGAGTGCCTTTATTCTCTCTTTCATTTAATTACGCAGTCTTTAGCTTCATTATCTCCCCCAATGTATAAAGCGTAACTTTGCTTTTCTCTTGTTTCTGTAATTTGAGTTAAACTTACCAAATTGTTGCTCAGTTTATTAGTCAGCATTTTATTACGTCGCTCTTTAGCCCCTGTACCCAAGACTTAACTTTTCTTTTAACTTGAACTCTGTAGCTATAAGTTATGTAACTGTTATTTCTCAGCATTGTTTGTTAAGTTTTGAGTTTCCTGTCAACTGACATTACGTAAAATTTAATGCTATTTTAAAATTCTCCTATACATAAACATAATAATTTCTTTAAGGTTTTACAGAACCGATGAGAGCTCAACTAAACAAATGATGCTGCCATCTTATTTTACAGAAACAATCGATATACTTTTTATTCAAATCGATGAATGTTGGTGAAATAATAGCCCAGGTGAGTGCAGCAGCTGTACCATGATAGCCTACCAATTTCTAGTTAAGTTAACAACGCCATTGTGTATCTCAGTGTAGCTAAAGACCTAGCTAACAGCTAGTTCAGATTTTTCAGTTCACAGAATGCTGAAGAATTGATGTAGTGGACTCTGATGCGAATCTTTCTGTGACCCGTGACATTTCGAATCATTCATGATCATCTTGGATGGCCCTACTAACAATGTTTGACGTGTTAAAATATGTTTTTGAGTGAAAATTCATTATCAGATAAACAGAAATTATCTTCAGAGAGAGATAATTACTGGTTATTTCACTGTTACTTAGTATTTTATCGAACACCATTTAATTTACCCAGTAATTTCCGCGCATTTCAAAATATGTGCAACCTAAAGAAGTTGAACAAAATGAAATTATAAAACATTGAACATACAATGAATGAATGGTGTTATTAATGGATTTATTACCTGTGATCCATAAGGTGATTTTTTAAAATATGTCGTTTCATATAATGGTTCATTTGGATTATTTGTACGATGACCCAAAGTATGACTGGCAAAACTGTCTATATTGTTCAAACGATTATTACTCCTCATTATATGATATCGTGCGACTTTACAACGATATTCTTTATCAACTTGAAAACGCCTGTATTCATCTTGAAATTGTGGATAATTTGACCACCCTATAGTTTATTAAATAAGCAAAGAAGTGAAGATTTTAAATGATTATTTTGAAAGAAATAACACTTGAAAATAAATCATACTGTAACGAATAGGTATTATGTAATGCTGAGGATGATGCGTAAGTTCATTTGCCTAAAGAATTCGTATATACACATCAAGGCCGCTTATCATTGCCCGATTACAGGATGGAGTCCTGTAAAAAGTCATAATCGGTGGAGTATACCTTATCAGGAGTAGGGGCAGATAGAAATCTATGATAACAGCTGATGACGTCACTATGCATCACGATCTGATTGGATCCAATCCTAATGGCTGAATCGTCAGAAGGCTCACTTGTAACTTCAGTCTGCTGTGGAAGCATGAGTACGTCATGGTTAAGGTCCCAGAACTATAACGGAATAGCTCTCCATTGCCCTCAGGTTTTTAATTGTACCCTTATTGATGGCAGTCAGTAATTAGTAACTTGAGGTCATTTGATAATGAAAATGGAAGTTGTGATTCCATATTAGTTTGTTTATTGGATGTATCACACAGTCAGGGAAACAGTATTATTTACTGGATGACAAGGTTTCGAACAAAGTTTATTGTTCATAATCACATCAGTTATAATCACAGGACTTCGAAAATTGAGTTTTATAGTTTTCTTTGTCCTCTTATTTGTCGTAGGGGTAATAGAATTTTCCAGATATCTGGGAGAGGTGTTGAATCATTTCTATTACATGTAGTTGCCACCAAAGTCTTACGCATATATTAATGGAGTTTGTGATTCGGAAAAATCAATAACTATGAGTGGTAGTTTCTTGTCTACTAAATGTATACAGATATTGAAAACTGATTTGAAGATTACTGAATTGAATTTTTGATTTTCCCGTCGATTGATTGGACCGAAGTGCTCGGTCTCAGGTTGACCAAGTGGTCTAGTGGATAACGCTTTGGCGTTTGAAACTATGGGCACTGGGTTCGAGCCTCAGTGGGAACATCATCACTCACTGAGAAATGCAGGTACATCCAGCTGACGAGTCCCAAATAGGACGAAATGCGCATCCTGGATTCCACTGCTAGCTACCATCCACCAATTGTATACTGATTTGAAGATTATTGTCGGGCTTCATTTAACTTTTATGTGACCTGACACAAATGAAAAATCTCGTCCGCAACATTTGACCAATCTAATTTCCCTCAGAGATTTGGATTATTACGACATTAACCAGATTAATTTGTAACAGATCCCTTGTAAGACTGCTGAACATAAACGCATAGATAAACGGAATGCAACTGATGTAGTCTTCGACGAGACAGATGTCTTCTACCAGGGAACGTAATCATCACGTTTAGTTCTCTTTTGACAGAAATACGTTGAACTGGTGAGGAGACTCTAGAAGATCTGGATTTCACAGACAATTTACACGTGTCATATAAATCCAAAAGTTTATGCGCGAAGACAGACAAGTTGGGAGAAGAAGCAGGCATCAAAGACAGGACTTCAAGTGAACACATAGAAGACAGAGGTGATGAAGACAACCAGTTCACAACAATATCCACAACAAGCTCCAATCGCTATGAATGGGAGAAATTTCAAGAAGGTCACTTCCTTCATTGATTTAGCTAGGGGACCTTGTTTCATCTACAGGCGGATACAGATGAGGGTGTCAAAATCTGAAGCACATAGGCAAGGCCAACCTTTACTAATCTGAAATCAGCGGGGGAGTCTTCTGCCCTCTACCACCGCATAAACAACAAGATTTGGATTTTCAACATCAATGTTATGTCAGTCAGTCAGTCCGCTCTTCCATGTGGGTCAGAAACATGGCTAGCGCATCAAATGAAGCATTATCAACATATTAATACAAATTTTTATCAACAGCTATCTTCGGTGGCTCCATATTGAAGATTAGATGGTTGGCTATAAAGAATTAGTGACAAGAAATTCTGGTAGCCAACCAGCTAAGAAGCTATTGCTCAAAAAACATGTAGAAGAAAATGCTGACGGATGGGACACGCGCTGTAATACCGTTGAATGAAGTCGCTCTTCAGGCTGTCGAGTAGAGCCTGAATGAGAAACGACAAGCTGAGTGATATAGAGTAGATTGTGTGTGAGAAGAAGGTGAGAGACTATACGTAATCATGGGAACAGCTGTTAAGGACGGCAGAGAATAGGACGAAGCCGTATGTTCCAATCAAAACCTAAGGGAACAATAATAGTACTGTTGTGATTGCGTGTGGGTGTGCTGTGTGGACATTATCAGAGAGGAAAAGATATTATGCTTCTCGTTACTATATTTTAAAACAGTTCCACAGAACGAGAATTATCTCAGAGTTTGAAGCAGATTTCAATTCCCTAGATCACTTAATTAATTCCCAGTATTCAATCGATACATTTAGAGATGTGACAACTCAAAATAAGTTTTAAAATATGCCCATATATATACATATATTACTTACATTTGAATGAACTATCTTGAGGCAGAACCACAGCATACTTTTGTCCTGGTTCAATTTTTAAATCACATTCTTTTAGTAAATTGATAAAATCTGTGACTTTTAACTTCTCAGCACAGTCTTTATTTTGAATTAATTCTTGTAATTTCAAAACTGCAAAAAAAATTGAAAATTGAAAAAGGATTGAGGTGAGTTGATTTTATCAGATGAAATAATGATGAGTGAGTATTCAACATGCATCAGTCTTTATGCTTATGGCGTTTGTTGACAAATAAAAGCCCGTTGTAAAGTATCGAACCTCAAAGAAAATCTACATTATCTGAGGACTTTCAAAGCTTTAAGATACCTTTTTCCCTGATAACTTCTTTTAAGACAGTTAGCTCCTACTAGCAATGAGATCGTGCGTTACTTGCCTTCTGATTGGTTGATTTTCCTTCCTTTAATATGATTGGATGATTCACTGGCACGCCCCTAGCACAGATCTGATTCATGTGAACTGTGATCAAGGTTTGACCGAATAGTTGCAAAATATAATTGGGCACCGAGTGAGAAGTAGACATTTGTAAAAAAAAAATATATTTGTTAAATCTCAGCGAAATTGAAATGAGTAATTCCAACGTTTTCTACGTTGGGCATACTTGTCAGAAATTCTTCAGGGAAATTAACTAAAATTTAAATATAACATATGTTTATGTAAAAACGAAATCTCTTGTTTTTAAAAACTTGGTCAAATCGTTTGAGTCATGAAACAGGCATTAACATGTATAATAAACAAAATTGTATGAGCTGTGATCAAAATTTGACCTCAAACACACAAATGTTATTAGTCTACTTTTTTAAACCCTTTAAACAGATTGTACTTGTCATCAGAATTTTATTGGTTACGTTCGACTAAAAGTTCATGGACTGTTTAGTAAAAAGAAAACCAGATGGTAAACTTGAAATAAACATTTTCAGAAAGCCGACAAATTCGGATAGATACCTAGACTACTATTCAGCACACCCCTTTACTACCAAAGTAACTGTGGTCAAGAAACTGATTAACAGAGCCAAACGTCTAGTTACTGAAAAGCAAGAGATTAGCAAGAAACTAAAATTGGTTTAATCTACTCTTGAATCGAATAATTATCCTAAAGGCTTCATAAAAAGATATTTAAAATGTGAAGATAAGGAAGGATGTGTCGAAACCTGTTGCTGAGAATTGGGTTAGTACAGCGGTGATTCCTTGCCGCAAAGAAACATCAGATGAGATAAGGTGAATCCCCAACGACCATAACATAAGAGTGTATTTCCGTACAACTAACACCTCACGCTCATCACTAGTGAAGGTTAAGGGTTAAAATAGAAGAAGAAAACAAACAGAATTGTGTGTACCAGATGAGTTGTGGGAACTGTGACGCTGCTGTATATGTAGGAGAAACTTCCAGACAGGTAGGTAAAGGTAAGAGTGAAGGAGCATGAAAAATGTCCAAAGGTAGTTCTAAAGACCTCTGCAGAGTTGAAGAAGTTAGAAAACAGGTCAACGGTTGCCCTGCATTCGATAGAAACGGGACACAAAATCAACTTTGATAGGACTAAAGTTCTACACAAAGATTTTAGTTCGTGTAAAGAAAGACTGGCTGCAGAAGCCCTACATATATGCGTGAATCCCAACAGTTTGAACAGACGTGAAGGTGTGATGTTAACTGATGCATAGTGAGTCCTGATTAGTCACTAATCAATCATACTTGATCTAACTTCCCGACTGTCAATATTTTCTAACGGAGAGGCTAACAAATGTTTTAAAACTGTTTACCCATGCACACATGCACACACATACACCATTGTACACTGCATATACACATATCTATTTTTCATATTTAGTTATCTAAGACCACGAACTCCCAGTCGAACATTATCTGATAAAAAAAGTGCAATCTTGTTTAACAAAAGCAGACTAATAATATTTGTGAATCTGAGGCCAGATTTTGATTACAGCTCATACAGTTTTGTTTATCATACACGTTGATGTCTGTTTCATGACTCATGTAACTGAACAAAGTTTTTAAATACAAGATATGTCCTTTTTATATATATAAACCTCTATTATTTTTGAATTTCGATTAATTTCCTGTGAAGAATGTCTGACGAGTTAGCCCAGCGTAGGAAACGTTGTAATTCGTTTTAATTCTCTGAGATTTTACAAATCTAATTTTTACAGATATGATTGGTATTCCCTACCAGGTTCTTCACCCACATACAATATCATCTGCATGTATTTCTAAAATATCCGAGACTGATTTGAGGGAGAAACGCATGCTATCCATGGATGCATCATCACTATTCACGAATGTACCACTTATGGGAACGGTAGATTGCATTTGTCAAGAAATCAGCGGAAGGCAGTTAGACTTAGGAATTCCCTTGTATAGCCTCAAAGAATCACTCCTTAAATACACAATGCATGTCCACTTTGTCTTCGGTAGTTCATACTACGAACAAGTAGATAGAATAGCTATGGGTTCACCATTAGGTCCAAAATTAGCTGACTACTTCTTCGCAAAACTTGAAAACGGGAAATTAAAGGACATCATCAAGGAGTTTGATATGTAATACTGTTATGTCAGTGGTACATTTATTTTAGCTGATGAGAATGTAAACATAGACGAATTGTTGATGAAATTCAAAACGTTCACCCTTAGCTTACTTTTACTTGTGAATAAGAGCAGGATAGTAAATTACATTTTCTGGATATCTTACTAAATAAGCGAGAAGTTGGGTCACTTGGGAGAAGCTTGTATAGAAAAAGTACATTGACAGGGCAATATATAAACTTCCTGAGTCACGTACCCATTAAATATAATAGAAATGTTGTTAAGTGCCTTAAGAGCAGAACAATAAAGACATGTACGGATGATCTCATACAAAAGGAATTTGAATACATATTCACGATTTCTTGGCGGAGATGGACCATCCGAGTAGTTTCATGAAGAACCATATGAAAACATCAGAGAGAAAACCTGAGACTATGACTGTGCGTTAAAAACCTCTATTTATTCAGCTACAATCTAATGGTAACTTGACAAGTGAGATGATATTCCAGAGATTTCCAGGAGTATACGAAGAACGTTTTACGTAGTATACCTATGTTTGTCATTCTCTAGCCGAAGAATGATTGGGACGTGAGCGAAGGATAAGCTAGATAGTTTTGCCACATCTATGTACATTTATCAATTCAGTTGCACCTCCGGTGACGGTTATGTTGGGCGTACTACTAGACAGCTTAGCCAGCCAACGTGTCAGTGAACATCTCCTATCGAGTTTGTTTGACAAAGGACAGACAAAAACAATCCGTTGCTCAGTTTTGTCACATTTAGTTGATTGTGGTCATGTGGTGGAGAAAACGAGAGCTATCAAAGTAATTCATCGTATCCCACCGAATCTTTCCAATAGACTTCGTATTCGTCTACTGCACACGGCTGAGGAGATAGGCAATCGAACTATTAAACCTAAACTATGCATTCAAAAGAAGTTCGTACAGCCATACACCTCCCGACCGTGACCTATTAAGACATAACCAACTAATGACTTCTACACCACCCCTTATTTATATTTTCAACCCCTTTCTTATCATCCCTTAATCTAATTACCTCTTCATTATAGACGTGTTTCATTTCCTTCTCTTACAATCAGTCTAGCATTACTTAATCGGTTCATTTGTTTTTACTAGCCTTTATCGACTACTATGTCCGACTGAACAATTGTTTGTTTAATCATGCTGTTTTTCATTATTCGTGTTATCACAGATCGCCTCACTATTATCCTTGTTATTATCACTACTAGTAATATGATTGACTGTACAATTTATATTCACCACCTTATTATCCTATAGACAAAACACCATGATTGGTTTATATCTGAATTTTTATTTGTAAAGTTATGTATATTAGAGTTAAGCCTGATGAGGTCTAATTGAAAACAATGTTGTTCTACATTTTACTATGGGGATATTTAATATTTTGAAATATCATCCATGTCTGTAATGACAGTTAGATTTAAACTCACCCGAAAATGGAATTAATGCATCTTCAACAATGTGTACCACTCCATTTGTAGCTGCTAAATCCGAAGTAGTTATCTCGCGTTTTTCACCACAAACAGTTCGTATATAATGGCGTTCTTTACCCGATGAATCAGTTTCACAGATAAATTCAAGTGTTTCACCAGATAGGGTTTTATAACTTTCAAGCGACTGAATTAAATGTCCAGAACAATGCTGACCTAAGAAAACGTGATTCGCTGCAATCTATGGCGTGGGGGAGGGGGGAATTAAAACAACAAGAAATTATAAAAAGAATGTAGACAGTTACAATTTTATCTATAAAGGCAGTGCATGAAAAAGATTTATTATTATTATCTCCTGTGATTTCTAGAGGAATATAGGGATTCAGCCGAACGTCTTCAATGCGTTCGGTTCTCCAAAAACATTTTCACCTGGCTCTACGTCTGCACACATGCTTTAATCTCATCTCCACACCACCTCCTGCTCCATGTCACCTCCACACTGACGACCATCTAACTCCTCGCTTCCCATTAGGGTTCCACTCGAGCGATGACCTAGCGTGTGATGGATGTCAATTGATGATGGTTTGTTTTCTCAGAGTATGGACAATCCATATACATTTCTTCCTGCATATTTGTTGCACAGTCAGTTCCTGCTGGGTTGGTTCGTTCACTGCCAGAGATCCCTGTTGCTGATCTTTTCTGGCCGGCCATCTGATCTTTAGAGAAGTATTAAGCGAAGACAAGTGTTAATGAAGGTGTGAAGTTTGTTTGAGATGCTCTTCATGACGCACCAAGTCTCTGATCCGTATGGAAGCACTGACTTCATATTGGAGTTGAAAATCCGGATCTTATTTTTCATGTTGAGTGCTGTTGATCTCCTCCACAGAGACTTGAGAGTAATGAAAGCTCACATTGTGTTCCCATCGTCACTTTGATATCCACATCGGTTCCGTAGGTAGGTAGGTAGGTAGGTAGGTAGGTAGGTAGGTAGGTAGGTAGGTAGGTAGGTAGGTAGGTAGGTAAGTAGGTAGGTAGGTAGGTAGGTTGGTAGGTAGGTAGGTTGGTAGGTAAAAGAGGTTTATTCTTTCAGATGCATGAAATAGATACTGAAGTTATAATTTTAAATTAATGCTGACATTGATTTTTTCAAATTACTGACGTGTCAGTGTGAGACTGAATATGTTTCAGTGCGCGTATGTGTTTCTTGAAGCATTCTAAACATGAACACATAAAGGCTACTCATACATATCGCATGGGGTTTAAATGTTGACTATCCTGTTTTTCCTTGGCATAAAGATGGACAGTCAGACAAATTGAGGTTTTCATTGTCCCACTATAGACCTAGAGGAGATTTAATCATGAGAATCGGAATCTTATGAAATAGCTATATTCCTAAGTTAACTTCTCTCCGTCTACCCATTAGGTGGTAATATCTCAGAAGGCGTAACAAGTCAGGTCAAAATCCAGGGAGAGAATATATCTCTGTAGAGTCCCAACGAGTCATTAGTTCTTGCAGCAAGCCACAAACAGGGGGTGATATCTGTGTTTTCCGTCGACTCGTTCAACAGAGGATCCAAAAAGCACATGTACGTAATAATCAATAAAAAATGTCAATCGGAATCTCGGATTTCAAGGTATTTTTATTCCCTTAGCTTCCAAGGGGAACATAAGGTTTCAGTAGAACATCTTTATTTCAGTCTATCCTCTGTAGTTGTCTTCATCTAGCCCTACAACTGCCCATAAGCCTTTGTCTCCACCTCATATCATCTCCTCCGTGTCTCCCTAGGATCCATCCCCAACTCGTCGTCTCCCACTCGGATTTCAATAGATATATGGTCTAGAGCGAGATGTTGCGCAACGGTTTCCGCAGAGTGTGCCCGACCGGCCTTCTTTTTCTGAACATTTGTTGAGTCACAGGTCCTTGGTTAGTCCGTTTCCAGAGATCCTTATAGACAATTCTCTCTGGTGTACAACTTGATCTTCATTATGGAGCTAATGAAGGGAAAAGCTGTCGATAAAAGCCTGTAGTTGGCTGTTGGAAATGATTTTTGTGATGCTTTCGACAAGTTTCTTAGAACCATATATAAGGATTGACTGACTTAACATTTTTGCTGTGTTGAAGAGAAGATTTTCAATCTGATTTCAGAATACTGAATGCTTGTCTTAGCTTTCTCATTCTGATTTTAACATCCTCATTCGTGGGACGTGCCTGTAGTTGAAACGATGGTGTCTAAGTAAGTGATGGAATCAACCTCTTTCAAATTTCTTTGTTTGATAGTGATTAGTGCTAGTTGTTAGCAGACTGGTATCTTCATCACTTCCGTTTTTTATCTATGTTCACTTCAGTTTCTGTGTTTTTGCAGCTTCTTCTGCTGACTTATTGGTTTCCGCCTGTAAACCTTCAATTTTATATGAGTGACATTAGATATAATTTGAAGTTTAACGTTCAGTTTGCTGGAAGACCCTCCAGAACTCACACTATTCGCCGTCATCTTAACCCTACTTTGGTAATAGATATTTACTTAAGTAGGTAACAGTTCACCATAGTTCTTAGCTCTGCTTAGTAGTTCCTAGGATGATAAGACTCCTGTCAAGCTGATATATTTTCCGATCTGTCTCTTCAGAGTAAGGTAATACCACGATAACTCCTAACAAATGTAGCCAAATTAAGATCTCAACAGTATCAATACGCTAACACGTTTCAGAATCTACAAAATAAACTATCGACACATTTTTCTCAATGCTATAAAGTGTTTGAATTTTTCAGACTAAGTGGAGAGGGAAATATTCATCAAATATGTCGTTCACAGTACAAGCTAGTTCCCTGTTATAGATTTTCCCTGTACTAGGTAGACTTTGAGCTATAGGCATTAAGCATGGGCGGAGGATATCAACTAGCCACCCTAGGCTGAAGCAACTGAGTTAAGATTCCGATTCTAAACTCAGTATTAAGATCAGGGAGTCGAACCCTTACAGAAATTGTCAATTAGGCTACACAGTCACATATCCAAAGTGTACTATTACATTTTTCAGTTCATCTGTCATGAAAGATTCTTTAACAAAGAAATTGACACAAAGCTGTCCTGGAAATACCAATCACTGTAGAAACAGATAAAATCAATTACCTTTTGTATCTGTTCTCCTGAATACTTTTGACGTAATGACTCCCATTTTTGTCGACTTGGTACAATTACAGTATAACGTTTTCCAGAATTCACATTCCTCAAATTATTTTTAAGCGCAGCGGATAAATCTTTAGCAAACGATTGAGTTTCTGGGTGGGATTCCAGTAGGCTTAAAACAGATGATCTATCGAAACCTTCTCTGTTAGTTAAAGGCTAAAGATTCAAAGAAAATTTCGGTGAAATTCTGTTTGAACATATATGTATATATAAAGATCATTTTGTCGAGCACAATTAAACACCGTTTTCTTCCTTATCAGTAACTAACTTATTTCAAGTTTAACCTTTGATGAATATCAGTTAGGCGACCACTAAAAACCAGCCACTGGGAGTACTAGACAACCGTTTCGTCCCAGTTCGAGACTCTCCATCAGCACGTGTCCACAACAAGGGTTCGAACACAGGATCTTCTGGTTACAAGGCTAGCGAGCTAGCTCGTAAACCATTAAGCCACTGGGACCCAATCCAATGGCCAGCCAGTGCATAAATTCTAACTTCTGCCAATTCAAGCATGACATAGCGCGACCACTTCTCAATGTCTTCTTCGATTAGTTACTGCCTCATCTTCAACCCGTTGTACCCTACTGGTCAAGGCTTCACACGAGAACCCTAAGTTAACTGCCTACATTTAGCTAGTCGTCAGTGAGCATCAGAGGAATCTTCAAGTATTGGTTTTGCAGGGATTTTGTTCGATTGGATGGAGGATTTCATCATGAGCTGACTGACATCAATTAGAGAACCATTGGAAAATCAGTAGGGAGTATTGGGCAGCCGTTTCGTCCTAGTCCTTTAGGACTCAACAGTAGTACATGCCTACTGGGTTTCGAACCCAGGATCTTCCGGTTACGAAATTAGTGAGCTCGTAGACCGTTCACCTACTGAAACCCAACTCAAGGGCTTTTCCACGAATTCTAACGTCTGCCGATTCGTGATTTTATCGCGACTAGCACCAGCCAATATGACCGATGACCAGTATTTGCCCTTGCTTCCAAATTATGATGATATAACTATCCAGTACTCCCTGTTGGTTTTTATTGGTTCTCCAACTGATATCGGTCTGTGGGCAAACTTGAAATATATCAAATCTCTACAAACTAACTCTTGTAAACGAACTTATTGTTGATGAAAAGCTTCAAGGAGATGTCATTGAATTGATGCATTCACCTTTCATATGTATTACTTATCAACAGCCCCAAACTTCATATTACTTTAGAGAAAATTTAGTCGAGTCTGTTAGATTCTAGTTTGGTTCTTCCTTAAAGCTTCCGTTTAGAATGATTATAAGTATAGTCATGTAGTTACTCATTCAAAAATGGTTAACTCTTTCATCTGCACCAACAATATTCCTCCACACTTAATGACGGATTTCTGACTGAAACTAACTCACTGCTGAAATCATAAAGACTGTAGACTACTGAAGTAGAAGAGCTAATTTTGCAGAGAGGTGATCATTACTCAGTGCTTGTTATAAATATTGATTTTATTCACTTTGCCATTTAGAATTTCTCATTTTCATTGTTGACTAAAAAGTGTTAGATGGTGGCAGGTACTCGCTGGAAAGACCGTCATTAAAGTCAATGACAGCCAAAGAGGCAAACATCATAAGACACAAAATTACAGCGGTACTACTGAATCAGAAGCCAAATGCGCCGAATATAAATAAAAACGAGCAACTGGCCTTAAAAAAACAACTACAGCAGGATATGTCAGTTATAATTACAAGAGCAGATAAAGGTAATATCACGGTTGACATGAACTCTTCAGATTACGAAAAGAAGGCCATTGATTATGTTAATGTCGGAGCTTATGAAAAATTCAACATGACAAAGTCAAGAGCGACGTCGAATAAGCTGAAGACTGAAACAAGCAAAATGTTACAGTCAATTAAAGAGAAGCTCGGGGTATCCCTTTGGTTTACTCTGTCTCCAAAAAGCTGCAGCCTCTGTAGATTTTATGGGTTACCAAAACTACACAAATCAGAAGTTCCATTACGTCCAGTAGTGAATTTTATTAATTCTCCAACATACAAACTCCCTAAATACATTTATGGAATCCTTGGCCCATATGAAATGAAAGTGGAGCATGGAGTGAAGAATTTGTATGAATTTAAGAGAAAAATAAACTTGACTCATATTGAAGAAGATGAAGTAATGACAAGTCTCGATGTTTATTCATTATTCACGAATGTTCCCGTTAATGATTCTTGAAGTATTCTTTATAATTTATTTTCTTCTGACAACGAACTCAGTGGTCGTTTTCCTTTAAATTCAGACGAAATTATGAAGGCATTAGAATTGTGTCTTCGATGCACGTTATTTACATTTAGAGGGGTTCTTTACCGTCAACACAGAAGGTAATACAATGGGATCACCAGAATCTCCGCTAGTCGCCAATCTGTTTATGCACTCATTAGCAACAAATGCAATTATGAGATGTCCTAGTCCTCGGAAGATGTGGTTAAGATACGTGGATGAGATACCTTGTTTGTTAAATGAACTTTTTCACCTAATAAACAATATGTCAGAAACTATCAAGTTTTCCAGAGAGGCTGACACCAATGAGAATGATTTGGCGTTCCTGGACTGTTTAGTACATAGAAAACTAGATGGTAAATTTAAGATAAACATTTTCAGAAAGCTGATAAATTCGGATAGATACCTAGACTACTATTCAGCACACAACTATAACACCAAAGTAACTGTGGCCAAAAATCTGATTAACAGAGCCAAACGTCTAGTTACTTAGATGGAATAGATTGCCGAGGGACTACAATTGGTTCAATCCACTCTTGAATCCAATAATTATTCTAAAGCTTTCATAAAAAGATATTTATTATATATATATATATATATATATATATATATATATATATAGTACCTGCTAATACCTGTTTCATGATTCATATGACAGGACAAACAATTAAAAACAAGAGATGTCCTTTTATATATAAACATACAGTTTTCTTTATTTTACACGTTGATGCCTATTTCATGACTCATGATTGAACAAAGTTTCAAAAACAAGAAATGTTCCTTTTATATATAAACCTCTGTTCTGTTAATTTCGATTACTTTCTCTGAAGAAGTTGGGACCAGATTACAATTAATCATTTCAATTTCGAATAAAGCAAGAACAACAGTGTGGTTTGTGCAGAATAATATGCTAACATCATCGCTTATTTCATTGGCTTCTCATCAGCTGCCGCTTACAGCCTAAATAAATTATGAGGTTTAAGTACAGAAACGTTTTAACATACTTGCAAATTTTACATGTTGTCATTTGACAGAAAGTTCCAAAAATTAGTAAACAGTGTTCAGAAAATTGCGCTTATATAATTTTTACACAGGCAGTTCAAGTTAAACCGTAATAAATGTATGCATATAATGGTAAAGGAGTTACATAATAAAGATGAGATGTGTGTTAGACGCATAGTGACTAATAAGTTAGGTAAACAATGTACTGAGTTGAACTCAAATCATAGAAACGAGGGACGAGCGAAATTACAGATTATAAAAGAAGGGTGAGGTTAAAGGTCTCTTGTTTCTATGATTTGAGTTGAACTCAGTAAATTGTCACCTAATTTATTAGTCACTCATCATCTTACGCATCTCTCATCTTTGTTACGTAACTCCTTTACCATTATATGCATACATTTATTACGGTTTAACTTGAAATGCCTGTGTAAAAACTATATAAGCGCAGTTTTCTGAGCACTGTTCACTAATTTTTGGAACTTTCTGTCAAATGACAACATGTAAAATTTGCAAGTATGTTAAAAGGTTTCTGTACTTAAACCCCATAATTTATTTAGGCTGTAAGCAGCAGCTGATGAGAAGCCAATGAAATAAGCGATGATGGTAGCATATTATTCTGCACAAACCACACTGTTGTTCTTGCTTTATTCAAATTCATCAAGGGGAATAAATGCATGACATTTCAATTTCACTGAGATTTTACAAATATAATTTTATAAAACTCCTAAGTACATTTGTGAAAGATTTAAATCATGCGAAATGAAAGTGAATAGAATTCATCTCATAATGTTTAATATCCCTTCTTTACAGGAAATTTATAAATGGGTAATAATTATTATAATAGAGGCTTTTGTATTTCTCAATGAATGAAAAACAAAACGAGATTGGTTTTACTGACGTTTCGCTATTTAATGCTAATAGCTTTCTCAAAGTATTATTAAACCGGAATTTACAAAATCTCTCTATATATATAACAAAGAGTTAGGGGTGAGAAAAAAAATAGACTTAGTTCAACTTAAAAGGACATATTGAAAGTCAAAATAACAATGAAGATCGTTCAAACCAAATATCAAAGGTAATAGTATATCTGTTATTACATCAAAATAAAGTTTACTAACTTGATCATCGTTCGTTAGTCTGGGGTCATTTTTGGTTGTCAAGTTCGAGAATAGGTAAAGGTAACCAAACTAAGTGTGGAATGTGAAATACTTGATTATCGCTCGTCAGTCTGGGTCGTTTTTTGTTGTCAAGTTGGCGAATCGGTAAAGATAACAAAATCAAGTGTAGATTGTCGGATTTAATTAGTGTGTAAAATTATGAGAGCAGCATAGTGAACTTGCTCATCACATTTGTGTTGATTTTGGTACTTCATGGGAGAGGGTGTTGTAGCCAGGTCAGATTCTGTTTTCGTCCATCATTCCTATTCAGGCAATTTGGATTCCACTTGATATGAAGTGCTTCTGATATTAGAAGTTCTTTGGGATTTCTGAAGTTTCTCTGGATTATTTCAATATCGTCAAAATCAATTTTGTGGCTTGATTCTATAGCGTGTAGACAAGCTATGGCTGATGATTTTTCAAGTTTTTCTAGTTCAACTGGATTTCTCGGGAGGTCTAACAGATACTCTACGGTGTTCATTTCTTCTGATTTTGATTTCTCGAGATATTTGTCCGATGCAGATCGCATCACATCACGTTCCAAGCATTTTATTTTATAGACACAATTGGATAGAGAATCATTCGGGATTTGGTCTTTTATATGGACAAGGTTGTTTTGAAGTGTGTCCGATGTTTTGAAGAAAGCTGTAATGTCGAGCCTATTGAGTACTCTTCTGATATCGTCTGACGTCTCTGCTCTCTATGGAATGACGACTGTTGAAGTCCATGTTTTCGGAATGCATTTTCGGCCATACTTAATGTCTGTGTTGATTTTGTTGATGAAGTTCCTTGGATAGTTGTTTTGCTTGAGAGTTTCAGTGATGTTTGATATTTCTTCTTCTTTTTCTTGCTCATCCGTTATCAGGGAGTGTGCTCGTCTAAGAAGACTTGAAACAAATGAAATCTTTGCACTGATGGGGTGTGATGATCCAAAGTCTAAATATTTATTGGAGTGGGTTTTCTTCCTGAATATGGATATACTAAAATGTCCGTTTTCCTTTCTCTTAACAAGGCAGTCTAGAAATGGTAGTTCACCGATGTCTGATTCTGCTTCCGAAGTGAACTGGATTTTGGGAAACAGACAGTTTATTTTCTTCAGGAATGAATTTTGCGGATCTCGTTTTAGTACTACAAAAGTATCATGCATATATCTCTACCATATTTTAGAAGTGAGTATGCTTGAAAAGATATTATTTTCGAATTTATTCATTTAAAGATCGGCGACTATTAGGGAGACTGGTGAACCCATAGCAACACCATTTGTCTGTCTATATAAACTCCCTTTAAATGTAAAATAATTACTTTCTAGACAGAATTTTAAGCTCTTAATTTTTTCACTGGTGTCCAGTGGACATCTTTGTGATAATGTTGTATCTGATTCTAGTAGACTGGAAATGATATCAAGACTTTCAGTAATAGGGATGCTAGTATATAGTGAGTGGGTAATAATTATCTGAAAATTGGGTATTTTACTATTATTATTATCACTATCATTATTATTCTATCCTTTATTTCCTAGAAGAACATAGGGCTTTTTGATGTAGTTGTTGTACCCTCTGAGCTAGATGATTTAGTTTAGTTTTTGTCGGCGGCACCGCATAGTAGCGAAGTATTTTCCAAATCACCTCTCGATCGACGCTGTCGAACACATTTTCAAAGTCGATGAAGTTGAGATAGAGAGGTGACTGCCATTCCAAGCTTTGTTCAATGATGATCCGTAGAGTGGCGATTTGATCAATACATGACTTGTTTCTCCTGAATCCAGCTTGTTCCCGCCGAAGTTTTTCATCCAGGGCTTGTTTGATTCTCTCCAGGATAATGCGGCTTAGCATTTTGCTTGGGATGGACAGGAGCATAATTCCGCGCCAGTTCTTGCATTGACTTAAGTCTACTTTCTTTGGTAGTTTGAATAAGTATCCTTTCTTCCAATCCTCAAGTACTTTGCCCCTTTCCACACCTTCTCCAGTAGTGGTGTCATCAAGTCCACTGTTGTCTCTGGGTCCATTTTCAATGCTTTTGCTGGGATTTCATCTGGTCCTGCTGCTTTTCCAGCTTTTAGCATCTTGATTGCGCTCAGGACTTCTGATTTCGTCGGAGTGTTGATGTTCACTGGTAGCGGTGATGCTTCCGTTGTTGGTATTGTTGGGTGCGTTGTATGTGGCGGCCGATTTAGAAGTCTTTTGAAGTGTTCAGCCCAGTGTTTTCTTTGCTCCACCTCTTTGGTGATTGACTTTTCATTGTCATCCTTTATTGGCTTAATCTGTGTCGAACTTTTTCCCGATAGGTGCCTAGTTCTTTGGTAGAGTATTTTGCATCTTCTGAATGTCAGGAAACTAAATCTTGAGTCAGAAACTAGGCGTTCAAATGTGCATCACATATAATGTTGAACGAAGAAAACCATAGTTACAGGTTGAAATATTGTAAATTGAACTGATTCATTTCGATTGACGCATATACTAATCAACTGATGAATGATATATCCTGGGTTCATGGGATTCTCTGTCAAACAATCAACCCACGTTCGTCTTCCTTTAGATAGCCTGACTGGATGGTGTTCTCGCGTGCTGAAGAATAAATAAATAGTGCCTAGTAGAATAGTGGAACCAGTGACATTCATTGCTTGTTTTATGATACGATTCATCAGTTGAATATATCTATTTTTCAGTCAGGTACAGAGTATACAAATTTCAACAAGAAAGAAAAGCAGATTATACTTACAAATCGAAGTGTATGTATAATGCCCGAGTTACATTCCATATCTGAATCGACCATTTCTATACAATCAATTGAAACAGTCTATAGAAAAAGAAAGAAATATACATAAGTAGACATATTTGAACAAAAAAACAGTAAGGTGCAGTTTATACAATACATTTTGAATTTAATTAATCGATAGTTATACAGACTGAACGCTTGTTTATGTTCCTCTGAACTCAGTTAGTCCATCAGTTAGAGAACTGAATATTGTAGGGAAAAGACGGCAATTTAAAGTGATTTAGATGCGAACTAAGTTAAGTCACTGGCTGAAATCGGTTGAAGGACCAGCTGTTTCGTTCTACTCTCACTATTATTGTTCCCTTGAATTCCGAGTGGAACATACGGCTTCAACAGCCAACCCATAGCATTTTAATCCTGTTCCCTGGAATCATTTTCAGTTTGTTCCACAATTGCCCATAAGCTTTCATCTCCTCCTTTAACTGCCACAATCTCCTCCATGTCATATTCAGATCCATACCCATCTCATCGCTTCCCTTTCCAGCCCCAATCTAGTGATGGCCTAGCATGAGATACCGTTGGACAGCCTCCTCAGAGTGTATCAGATTCATTTCAATTTTCTTCAGAATACTTGTTGAGCAATAGGTTCTTGCGGCTAATTCTTTCTGGCCGGCTACCTGATCTTCAGTATACAGTCAATGAAGGCAGTTGTTGATAAATTCCACAACAGCCTATTTGAAATGCTTTCCGTGATGCTCTGGCGTCAAGCTTCTGAGCCATACACATAGAAGAACTGACTGACTTAACATCGCTGTTGAAGATGTGAATCCGCTTTGTTTGCGCTGAGTGCAGCTGGCTTCCAAACTGACTTCGCAGTGATGATTGATGAATGTCTGTCCCGCTCTTTCAATTTTTGATTTTGACATCATGATCACACTTGTGGCGGCTGAGGCGATACCTCCTAGATAAATGAAGGAATTGACCACTTTCAAATTTCTTGCTTTGATAGTGTCTGGTGCTCGTGTGTTGTTATGAAGTGTAAATTTGTACTGTGAAATCCTGAGAAAAAGACTAAGCAGTAATGTGCTTAACTTGAGACCTGATATTTGAGCATAAGTGCTGATATGAGAGACGCCATGTTAGTCACTAAGTCTAAATGAAACCAATCACTTTGTAATAAGTAAAGGAAGTCAGTCAACGTTTAACAACTTGGAATAATACAGTAGGAGCGATAAATTTGTCGAAACTCTGCTTAAGTGTGATTAACATGTTATAATTTTGATGCTTCTCTATGAAACCCAAGGTGTCTGAAGTTAGTTCTATAAGCATTCGCTCTTGCATACGCTTGTAGCACTAGAGAATGTTGATTAGGTTATGCTTCTGAAGTGAGTACTGTTTGAAGAATGCTTTCAGTGCGATTCCATGCTTATTAAAGACTGGTTTCGTATACTTGCATTCATTCTATTACTGATCTACCACGTGACAAGTTCGCTTTCGTAAATGGTTTGTAAGTTTGATCCTTAAGAAAAGTAAAATCAATTTTTCACCAACACACTGCACCAATTCTGTAACAGAATATTCAAATCAGCCTCTCCAAAGCAACAGTAAAGAAATACGCAATCCAAAAAAAACGAGGAGTTAAGAATTAGTAGTCAAATAAAGTTACAAAGGGATTATAAAACCGGGAGAATATGAAAAGTCGGCCAAGTTAAACTTTAAGCACCACTAACTACCAATAGAGTGCGACCACATCAATGACCTTGAAACACTCACTGAGCAAGTTAGTGAAACCTAACAAATAATGTTGTCTTCATCAATAAAATATGCTCATCGATGTGTTATGCTGTTACGTGGTATATCTGGCAAGTTTCAGCTTAGGTTTGTGAAAGATTAAGTTACGCTTTAAGCCAAGGAGAAGTTAGGGTTAGATTAACCTAATAAAGGAGACATTAGGGTTGGTTCGAGTTAGATTACCTTTAGTTTAGGTATATTTTCACGTTAGCGTTAGGTTCAGGAAAGATTGGGGTTATTGTTATTGTTAGAAGACCTAAATAAATACATTCATAGAATGTGGTTAAATTACTCTGTTGATATAAGAATAGAACTTGTGCACTGTGGTGATAGAGTATAATTCCATTGTGGGTAAAATTTATTTTGATAAAGTCTTAGGGTGTCATACAGTAATAGTTACTGATGACCCCGTTTCGAGCACAATTTATTGCTCAGTAAATATTACTGTATAGCACCATGCAACTTTATCAAAATAAATTTTACCCACAATGGAATTATACTCTGTTGATACGCCAAACTAAAACTGAGAGCTATTTTTATCACATTTGAGAGGAAGGTATCCTCTGTAACACTTTTCTGCAGTTTTCCTTTTTTTCATAAATATATGTATTCCATGAATAAAAATGCCTCCTTTACGTGAGTGGTGTGTTCCAGGTGATTTGCTGATTGGTAGGTAGCGGTGCTTAAAGTCTAATTTTGCTGAAAAGTCATAGTTATGTTTAAGAATTTATATAAAATAGTTACTAAAAAGATATAATGAGATGACTACCATCCACTCTAATTACTAATTTACACCGAAAACAATGGCTAAAATGATCCTCAAAGCTCTACCCAACTAATAACCAGATCAGAAGACATATCCAAGTCAAAAATATCATTTTCATCTGTAATTATCTATTCAAGAGTGTGTGATAAAGTGAATCGGTGAGTTACCTTTCGAAACATATTAACCGATATCTTGTAAATAACAGGAAATCAGGTTTTCACTTACCCTTGATGTTCACGTGTCACGTATAATTTACGTTTAGGATCTAAAGTTTCCAACTGTAGTCCAGCTTTTAAATCTTTTAAATAAAATCGACCGGGAACAATGTGTTCTGCAGCATTTGTTAAGCTGTGTAGGTAGAGAGAAGATGAAGAAATAGAGGGAAACAAAACGATATTGCATGCAATCAAATTTTTTTATCTCAACAAAATATGTAGTGAATTGTAACTTGAAAATTAATGATTGGAATGGCGTAGGTGATACAGTGGTAGAATGCTCACTAACCACGCCACAGGTGGCTCGATTTTCAGTCCCTTGCTCACTCACTTCTTTACCTCGCTAAGGCGGTAACAAGACTGGTAAACAGGGAAGGTTGGGAATGAGGCTAGCAGCTCAATTCCGTAAAAATAAGTACCACTGCTACCGAAACTTCAGAGCTCTAGCTTGAAGTCCTATGTCCTACAGGGGATGCAAAGAAGTAAAATAATAATAATGGGTGGAATGTGTTGTGTCATATGACAGCAGCGATTTTTATTCACTACGAGACAGTGTATCTAGGAATAAAAGTCTGAAGGTGGTTATTAACCTATTAGATAGTGACGCGACTGAAAGTTGTACTAATCTATCAATCCTCACAGGTCATTCCAAAAGGTATATAACTCTGATGTAGTATGTATTCGAAATCCAAAAGGTGAATTATCTTCATTCAACCTACAAATGAACAATAGGTGGCAACCCTGGGTCACTAGATATTAGTATCGAAGCTCGACAGACAATAACTGAGTTTTCGAAAGAGTTTTAGGTTGGTTCAGCTAAGAAGTCTTACATTAGGATGAAAAAGCTACCTACCATCTATTGATTTTCAATATTTTTTTTCGGTTGACACTGATTTGTCAAGAAGTCAATTTTATGAAAGCCGAAGAGCCGTAAGAAATTAAGTTCTCCAAAGATGTACAGCTAAATGTCACATTCACACCAACTAAAAAACTTAATGTTAAAAGTGATGTGAACAAACCATAATATGGTTGGTCATTCTTGAAAACGATGTTTTCTATGAGGTAAGTGACTGTCTGTCGGTTTTATGTTTACTCTTGCCCTCGCTCACTTCAGTTAACTGCATAGACGAGTGCTTTCTGAAATACTGGTTCCATCATCTGTACTGATGTTCTTTCTGTGGGGTGGGAATGTCTTACTCTCAACCTTCTCTCTTTTTTTCTGGCTTGCTACCATCTGGTAAACTAGGTGAGGTTTAAGACTTCATCGGCCAAAAATCGCACTCTGGACGGTGCACATGGTTGAAAAGTATTCAACCTTTAAACGATCACCTGTAAAATACTTTGAATTTACTCTTTTTCAGTCTATTGACGACAAAACAGTGCGTAATTTCATAAATTGACTACAAAGCGAAGAGGGAACGTCTGTAGATTGATTGGTCTTTAAGTTTTGACTGATTGATATTACAGAAAAATACGTTCAGTACGATGATTTACTAACCTCCTTAAGGTGGAGCATTCGCTGTTGTGGGATATGTTCAGAGGTGAGCTAAGGATAACCAAAGGAAGCAGTGATGTCAGTGCATTCAGTCTATATACGAAAGAATAGCCCATCTTAACATGATCTTCAAGATATTCTGAACCAATAATTACCGACAGTCAGCAACATGTAGACGTATCTTGTAATTACTAAAGATTTCGACTAAATTTCCTTAAAACAGTTTCTTTCCTGTCATATTCAGCCCTTTTTTTTATTTAGTTACATTTTAGCGGACATGGGAGAGAGATATTCAATAGTTTTACCTACAAGATTCTTAAAGATTTTGTGTGGTTTCAAGTGATTCAGCTTTCTGTGCTCAGCGTATCCGCACGTATAGCTGATGAGCTCGACTATGGACAAGTGAAGTGGTGGACTGGCGTTTAGATCAGTTGAATCAGTCTGAAAATCACTGCTGTTTCACCTAAGCAGTTTCTCACTCACCAGTGTACACCATCTTGCTGTATTGCCTGTTATCTAGACAACCGTTTATTCCATAATCTGAATTCTTCCGTTTTCAAAGGAAACTGTGGTAGATCTCTCCCTTGAACTGTGTTACTTAATTAATGGAGGAGGTCAATCGCGTCCAAACAGATCAAGGACAGTGTCTCTGACTGCAGCACTCCCTGGGTGACACAGGATGGAGTCTCAGGGGGCAGGGACATGAGCTTCTTTAAGATTGAAGATATACCCTGCTGACTGGTGAATGCCAACAAGCATGAGACATAAGTTGCTGTGTGCTATGGCTGTTTCAAGGTTGTTTGTGATAACCAGCAGATATTCTAGATGTTTGGAAGCAGTCGGCAGGAAACCTTAGACCTAGGTTTCGTGTTCGTTGGCATTGACCTATCAGCAAGGCGTATCTGCAATATTCTAGTTTTGTGTTCGTGGAGATTCATCCAAAGATATTGTTTATCAGTTTCCTGGGAGGTTTTTCCTCATTTTAAACGTCTACAATGGCATCACTCAAGTTTACGTTTGAGGATAACATATGCTGATAAGAGTACATGCTCTAATTTCCCAGGTTGATGCCTTAGGAGCGGTAACTCTTCAACTATAATTCGATATGAAGCTGAACAGCTTCGAAGAAATCAGATGGACTTTTGGAGGTGTAAGATTCTTCATACTGGTGAGGAACATCAGTCAAAGGAGGGGAATAGGAGTAATTACAAATAATTTATAAGGATTTCATTCGTTTTTCTGGTTTGAACACGATAGATATTAGTTAGAAAACCATTCGAAACCAGGGAGTACCGAACAGCTATTTCGTCCTAGTTTTGGATCCATCGGTGGTACTCACTCACCCCAGGGGTTCGAACCGAGGACCTTCCAGTTACAAGGCAATCTCGTAAATCATTCAGCCACTGGGACCCGATCTAATGGCCAGCCAGTGCATGAATTCTAACTTCTAGCAATTCATGATTTGACGAGACCACCAACCAATGTCATTGGCAGGAAATGCATTCTCACTCCCGACTTGATGGACTTCACTGTTTATGGCTTCTTATCGGAACTCCAAGAAATTCTGTCCTGTTTTCATGTCAAAACACAGCTGCAGTGAACAGTAGGCTTGGTTATCATGGTGACCTCTACCAAACTGAATAACTTCTGTTTGCTTAACCCTCCAAATGTGAAAATATCCTTAGAAGTAAACATATTTATATGCATAAAACTCAAAATTCCTCAGAACGAAAAGACGAAATAAATACTTTCTCTCAGTATTACTCTTTATATCTTTCTGGACTTCTTGTACTTGGTGCAAATATTGTATACGGTTTATCAGGATTCTTTGTATTAAATTGTTTCATCGATTGCATTTTATCCACAAATGGTGAGATATCAGCTGAAATCAGAAACAGAAACGAAAATGTAAACGTTGTCCTCAGCAAGGATTAAAGAAAATAAGAAATGCAATAATGCTTGATTGTGCATATTTTGAACATTTATCAATGAGTACACAGTGGCGGACGTTTCACAATCATGCTGGAAAGTATTATCAGATGGATTGCAAAGAGGTCAGAGGTAAACCAATATTTGCCACACGTATTCACCAATGGAAATATCTATCTGATTGCATTTTTATTGGCTGAGATGAAAGTATATCTGTATAAAAGTTAGAGATATACCGAATAACTTTCTATAGTTTGGTTTGTAAGGATCAGTTATGTTTTACGGGTTGATCACGGATTGATATCAGTGTGTGGATGGATGTCCCACCAACGACAATGGTTAGGGTCGCGCTAAATCACGAATTGGTAGAAGTTAGAATTCACGAGCCGTTGAATCGGGTCCCAGTGGCTGAATGGTATACGAGCTTGCCTTGTAACCGGAAGGTCCCGGGTTCGAGTCCCAGTGGGTGCGTACTGCCGATGATTCCCAAACTAGGATGAAACAGCAGCTGTCCAGTACTCCCTGGTTTTCAATGGTTCTCTAACTGATATCAATCCATGATCAACCCATAAAATATACCGAGTAAATTTTAGCGTTACTTAACATACTACTTCTGGTACTACTGATACTCCATAAAGCTAGAAGATAATCAAAATGAAAATCTAACTGGAATTAAGATAGTCATGTGTGTTGTAACAACAACATATGTCACACTTCGATGGTTAGGGTTAAAACCAATTAAAATTGACCAACAGCTGCCTAGAATACGATCACTAATTTAAACAATTGATACTTGGATTTAAATCTAATTGAAATATCGTGTTCATGTAATATCTTGCTGATATGAGTGTCCAGCTTGACATTTACTGGTCTGACCGTCGACTTTTGACGAATACTGAAAATCCAGTACAAGCAGTGGCCTGTAATCAATTTACTCAGATATTTCACACAAGTGGGACCATAAAGTATGACTTTGGACCGATAAGAAAACTTTACAAGATCCGGATTTCGCGTGTGGATAATTCATGACACAAACTCGAAGACTTACAGGCGAGAGCGAACAAACTGGCTAAAGAAACCGTCAGGGGAAACAGGACTTCAGGTGAATGTAGACAGAGCGCAGGTGATGAAGACAAACAGTCAATGAACAACAGCCACAATAAGCACCGACCACTACAAAAATGGAGAAATTTGAAAGAGGTCACTTCTGTCACTTAACTAGGAAGTTTAGTTGCAACTGTGGACAAGCGGTATGAATGAGGACATCAAAACCAGAATAGGAGAGGCAATACAGACATTCATCACTCTGAAATCACTTTGGAAACCCGCTGCACTCAGCCAGAGTATGAACAAAGTAGTGAAATTTTCAATATGCCAATGTTAAGACAGTCACTTCTTTTATATGGATGAGAAACTTAGCGCTCGTATGAAGAGAACCACTTCAAACAGGCCACTGCAAACTTTTATCAGAAACTGCCTTCATTGGTGGCATACTGAAGATCAGATAGTGAGCTAGCCAGAAGCAAATAACAACTGTTAGATGTGGGGGCTAGTCAATCACAAACCTGCCGCTCAATAAATATTCCGAAGAAAGCAGAGATGGATTAGGCACACGCGAGAGAGACCGTCAAGTGATATTGTATACCAAGCTAGCTCCTAAGTGGAATCCGAATAGGAAACGAGTTACACGTGGGTCTCAGTGTGACATGGAGAAGATTGTGTGATGTGGAGATGAAAGCCTATGAGCAGTCGTAGTGCCAACTGGAGTGGATCGCACAGAACAGGTCGAAATAGGGATGTGCTATTAAAGCTCTATATTCCACTTGGAACCCAAGAGAATATTATTAAACACCTAGAAGCATTTAACAAATTAAGAACAAATAATGAAAGCATATAAAAATCTGGGTAGAACTTCTCGTACAGCATAGCACTATGGCATGTTGTGTACATTTATAATTAAACAAAAATTCAGAGAATGAAGATACTAATATGTTTATGAACAGTCTCTGATGCGAATTCCATATTAGTTTGATTATTAAATGTATCACACAGTGAAACAGTATTGTATACTGGATGACGTTTCGAACACAATTTATTGTTCATAATCATATCAATTTTTGTCACACGACTTCGAGATTTGATTTTTATAGTTTTCTCTGTCTTCTCCTATTTGTTGTATGGGCAGTAGAATTTTCCATATATCTGGGACAGGTGTTGAATCATTCCTATTACATGTATTTGCTTCTGTTATCAATCTCTCCCTATACCCTGTGACATTAGATTTTAAAACTGTCATCCTATCCCATCCTATTGTATGGTTGTGTGTAACTGCATGTAGTGCTATAGCTGAACTACTCTCTAGATTTCTTATCTTATTCGGGTCAACCAATCTAGATTTAGCTAGGTTTTTATGTTCGGCTAGTCTGACTGCCCCTGTTCTACTAGTTTGACCTATGTATTTGACCTCACAATCATTGCAGGGTATTAGATAAACTAAATTGTTTTGTTTTAATGGCTCTACAGGATCCTTTAACCGACAAAGCTTGTTTCTAATTGAGTTTGTGGGTTTGAATGCCACTTTTATTCCTGCCTTGTTAAGAATTCTGCGTAAGGCTTCCGAGGTTCCTTCTTTGTATGGAATTATTGTTGATGATTTACATTCCTTATTGTTGGTGTCGTTATTAATATTATTATTATTATCACTATTATTATTACCATTATTATTATTATTGTTATCATTATTATTATTATCACTATCTCTGTTATCATTATTTATTTTATTTTTACATTTACTTACATATTTCTTGACTAATTTATCCGGGTAATTATTAAGTTTCAAGGCTTCTTTTATGTGTGTCACTTCCTGTCTTAGATTTTCCTTGGTACTACTTAGTTTTTGTGCTCTGTCATTTAAACATTTCACTAATCCTATTTTTACTGACATAGGATGGGATGATCGGAAATCCAAATATCTGTTTGAATGTGTGGGTTTTCTGTAAACACTAGTGTTTAGCTTCCCATCTTCTTTCCTTTTTACGTTGCAATCTAACATTGGAAGTTCCCCTTCCTGACTTTCCAATTCATAAGTGAATTGAATTGCCTCTACCTTCGAGTTGATGTGCTCGAAAAATCTATCTATATCTTGTGTTCTAAGTACAGTGAATGTGTCATCTACATACCTCCACCATACTTTTGGGGTGGGGGTGAACGTTTCAATCGCTATCTTTTCCCACCTATCCATGAATATATCTGCTACCACCGGGGATATTGGTGATCCCATGGCAACTCCCTCAGTTTGTTTGTATATTTTCCCTTGGAATTTAAATACTGTAGAAGTCAGGCAAAGCTGCACTCCCAGCATTATGTCCTCAATTGGCACTTTTGTCCTAAGTTCGAGTTCTTGGTCAGAAATGAGTTCGTTTCTGACCGCCTCTATAGCCATATTTATTGGTATACGTGTATATAAACTGACAATGTCAAAACTAACCATTTTTTCTTCATTATCTAATTTTAAATTATCTAATCTGTGTTTTAGTTCATAAGAATTAGTTAGTCTAGATTTCGAGTGGATTTTTAGGGGATTTAATACCATGGCTAAATATTTAGATAATTCATAGGTAGGTGATGCGAAGCCTGCAGACGGACTTAAACTTTGTATCTTAACGCAAAACTGTCGGCGGACAAAGCCATCTACACTCAAAACATCTGTCCGGCAATTAATCCTGAACCACTTCATAGGTGCTGAAGACGATTACAAGTAGAATTTTAACTTATCAAATCAACTGACAATAAATTTGTTACTGGATGTCATCATGAGTTGACATCAGTTAGAGAACCATTGGAAAACCTTGGAGCACTGGAAGACAGCTATTTCGTCAGCCTAGTTTTGGACTCTCCAGCACTACGCGTCAGCCACAGGGGTTCAAATCCAGGACCTCTTAGACCATAAAACCACTGGAACTCGACCCAATGGCTAGCCAGTGCACGAATTCTAACTTCTGCAAATTTATAGGCCACTGGATCAAATCTCAGTGGCTTAGTTGTCTACGATCTCGCTAGCTTTGTTACTAGTAGGTCGTGCGTTCGAACCTCACGGTGTGGGTGCGTGCCGCTGATGGAACAGCTTCCTGGCATTACTGTCTGCAGGTCTTCCAGTAGTTCTCAGACCGATGTCAGTTTATAATGCAATCCTGTACCAAACAATCAAATCCCTACAAACGAATAATTGAATGACAATAACTTTGTTTTTATATATTTGTCCAAAGCAAGTTCACTTTTAACAGCTTGAAAAAACGTTTTGGGCAATAGGGTATATGATTTTCATTATAATAAAGGTGCTTTTGTATTTCCCAGTGAATGAAAAGCAAATTGCAAAGGTATCAGTTGTTTCATGTATGCTGAGACGAACACACCCTTTGATAAAAACGGATGAGAAGGAAAAAGAAGAAGGAATACCAAACATTACTGAAACTCTCAAGCAAAACAACTACCCAAGGAGCTTCATCAACAAAATCAACACAGACATTAAGTATGGCCGGAAACGCAATCCGAAAACATGGACCTCAACAGTTGTCATTCCATATAGGGCGGCGGCTTCCGAAGATATCAGAAGAGTGCTCAATCAGCTCGACATCAGAGTTTTCTTCAACACATCAGACATGTACACTGAGAGACAACCTTGTTCATATAAAAGACCAAATCCCGAAAGATTCTCTACCTAACTGTGTGTATAAAATAAAGTGCTGGGACAAACATCACAAAAACTCATGACTAGAAGAAACGAACACCGTAGAGCATCTGTTCGACCACCGAGAAATCCAGTCGAACTAGAAAAGCATGAAAAGTCATCAGCCATGGATTGTCTACACGCTATAGAATCAGGTGACAATATTGATTTTGACAATATTGAAATCATCGGCCAGAAAAAGCATTTCGAAAATCAGAAAAGAACTTCTTATCCCATCAGAAGGACTTCATATCAAGTGGAATCCAAATTGTCTGATGAATAGGAATGATGGACTTAAACAGAATTTGACCTGGTTGAAACACCGTGCATCCCTCATGCGATGACAAAATCAACACGAATTTGATAAGCGATTTCACTATGTAAACGCACGCCGCTTTTAAAATTTTACACACTTATCATATCCAACAATCTTCACATCTTTGCCAATTGGCCAATTTGACAAAGCAAAAGTGACCCCATGCTGAGGAACGATGATTAAGGCGTTATATACAAGCTAAGGAGATTTTGTAAATTCTGGTTTAATAGTACTACTTTGATAAAGCTATTAGTAACAGCATTAAATACCGAAACGTCGGTAAAAACGAGAGTGTCGTTTTGTTTTTCATTCATTGAGAAATACAAGTAAGCCTTTATTATAGGGCACTTTATTTTTACTTCAAATTCAAATCAATCGATAACTTACATTGATTACTTATCAAATTAATGCATAATTCATACGGCGAAAGTTGCATAGCACATTCACCCTTTTTAAAATCTCTAAAGTTGTATGATATTTTCTCAATTTTTTCATATCCAGAACAACATTTGTAATCGAATTCTCTGGTATAAAAAGGGGAAATGAAATGAAACGAAATAGAGATTGTTATAAGACGAGTTTCTCTTTTTATTTAAAGCACTATGAAACACGATAAAATGTAGAATAATATGAACTATAATTATAATCCAGTCTAATAGACACATTAGTAGTAATCAGCCCTTCCTAACAAATTAGTTAGTCATAATGGGGAGGATCGACTTTGAAAAGGCCTTCGACAGCGTCGATCGAGAGGTCATTTGGCAACTACTTCGCTTCTACGGGGTCCCATCGACAATTATACATCTCATCCAACAGTTATACGACAATGCTGCATGCCAAGTAATCCACAACGGAAACTTACGGAAGCCTTCGAAGTAAAGACGCGAGTGAGGCAAGGCTGTCTATTATCGCCAATGATTTTCCTGATTGCAGTAGATTCGATAATGCGACAGAAAACAGGCAATAAGGAAACAGGCATAGAATAGACTCAGACAAAAAACTTGGAGGATCTGGACTTCGCCGATGATGATATGTGTCTGATTTCCCACAAACTGGAAGATATGCAAGTGAAAAGCAACAAGCTGGCAGAAGAAGCATCCAGAGAAGATAGGACTTCCGGTGAACATAGAGAAAACAGGGGTGATGAAGAATCCTGGTAAACACCAACAACAGAAACAACAACAGACAACAACAGACAACAACGGACAACTATCAGCATAGATGGGAGGAAGCTGAAAGAAACAACCTCCTTCATCTACCTACCTGGGAAGCATCGTTTCAACTACAGGCAGAACTGATGAGGATATCAAAGCCAGAATCGGAAAATCAAGACAAGCTTTCATTACTCTCAAGTCTGTGTGGAGGTAAATAGCACTCAGCATGAAAAAAAGATCTGGATTTTCAACTCCAATGTGTACGGATCAGGAGCATCTCAAACAAACTTCAGACCTTCATTAACAGCTGTCTTCGCTCAATACTCAAGATCAGATGGCCGGCCAGAAAAGATCAGCAACACGGATCTCTGGCAATGAGCAAACCAACCAGGAACCAATTGTGCAACAAATAGGCAGGAAGAAATGGAGGTGGATTGGCTGGCCATACTCTGAGGAAACCATCAAGTGACATCACTAGACAAGCCATCGCTCGAGTGGAATCCGAAGAGGAAGCGGTGAGCTGGTCGTCAGTGCAAGGGTGACTTGGAGTTAGTCATGTGAAGAGGAGATGAAAGCATGTGGGTAGACTTGGAGTGGAGTGAAAAAGTTGGCAGAAAACAGGAGGCAATAAAGGTGAGCAGCTAAAGCCCTATGTTCCTCTAGGAACATAAGGATATACTAATAATGGAGAGGATTTACAGCTCATTTGGATGATTGTGGTGTTCCCGTGTTCTCTGTGCTAAATGATGTAATATAAGATTGTCAAGGAATACGAACATTAAACGTTGGTTCATTGACCTTGGTAGCCATTGGCGGGCAACTGGAAGGCGCGAATAGTTCAGTCGTGTAAAAGTTGAAAGAAGACGAAAGAATATGAATAAAAGTACGCTGTATTTCTTTGTAAACATTTGTTTATAAACTTGTAATTACCTTTTGCTTTAATTGCCAAACAATATAACTTTCAAACGAGTACTGGTGTTTTGGAGCTAAAGTCGAGAAAGGTACATAGTAATTATCGGTTCAGAGCGTCTTCGGAAGTGACAGGAACTTAACGTTAAGTTTCTTGACAAGGGTTCTGGTGCTGAAATAAGGACTGAAGATATTGTCTAGCATATCAGTGAAACAGAGAACGCAACAACCCCCAGTTATTGTTAGGAGGGATAAGATTCTTTGTTAGCTGTGAAATTATAATTTATGAATGCGGTGATGTGATAACCTTAATGGGCAGTTTTTTGATTGTTTGATTCATGGCTTCAATTCTCGAGGATTCGCCATGTTATACAATCCAACAATCAGATAGGTTTATTCATCTATGGCCTAAATTTCTGAGGTTTATATATGTGACAGAACAATAAATTACTCTACAACTGATACAAGATGTTCAAGTGTTGGTTTGTAGGGATTTGGCTGATTGGTTACAGAATTTCATCATGAGCTGACATTAGTTAGAGAAACACTGGAAAACTTGGGAGTACTGCCAGAAAGCTGTTTCATCAATCTAGTGCTTGTGACTCTTTATCAGTACGCATCCACCACATGGGTTTGAATACATCACCTTCCGGTTACAAGGTGAGCTAGCTCGTATACCACAAAGTCACTGGTACCCAATCTAGTGACCCATGAATTGTAACTTTTGCGAATTCAGGACATAGGGCTACCACTAGCCAATGTCTTTGGCGAGTATTTGTCCTCACACCCGACCTGTTGCACCCTACTGGTAGGGATGGTTCTTAGTTTTTTAACTATCCTCACTATGGAGAATTAGAAATCGACTCTAATAGTTATATTCTTGAGAACTAAATGTGTCCTTTCATTATTATTATTGTTACTGTTGTTATTATGATTAATTAATTCGGTGCGTCAGTAGCATAGGGGTTAGGATGCTCGCCGACCATGCATATGATCTGGGGTTCGATCCTCGGCCAATGCACCCCTATACTTCGCTAAGCCAGAAATAATCCTGGTAAAGAAGAAAGGTTGGGCATGAGGTTGGCAACTCCATCCTGTAAAATAAACCCTGCTGCAGAAACTTCAAACCACCAGCTTGAAGCCCTATGTTCCACTGGGGAACGTGAAGGAAAACAAAATTCAACAAATTCCAGATGGACGTTTCCAAGCTGTAGATCTCAATATATTGTCCATTGATGCATTTTTTGTCTCTTCATAACTCTGAACAGAAATCTTTAAAAAGTTGTCTTTGAACCTTCAGTATTTATTAGAAGCTGGTCAGTATCTATCTAAATGTGCTCAGAGGTTGGTGGATGTATGTTGTGTATCTTTTATTGATCTTACGGTTTATATAAACGGAAGCAATACAGAATGTTGAGTTGGAACACAATCAGTCCTTGGTTCAACTTGAAACAAATTCATTCCCTACAAACTAATTCTTAAAAATTAATCATACTGCTCGCTAGTGACTGGATGCACAACTAAGTTTCCTGAAGTTCTAGTTTGAAGTCATGACCATTCATTGAGGTCCATCCATTAGGGAGTGAGGATAAATACTGGCCGCTGATGACATTGGATAGTGGTCGCAGTAAAATCACGAATTAGTAAGATTTGGAATTCATGGGCTGGTTACTGAATCGAGTCCCAGTGTTTGAATAGTCTAAAATCTATCCTTCCGACAGAAAGATCCTCAGCTCCAACGCCCTAGTGGATGCATACTGCTAAAGAATCCCAAATTAGGACAAAACAGCCATCCAGTATTCCTTGTTGGTTTTCTACTAGTTCTCTAAGTGATGCCAACTTTTGATTAAACCAGTGACCAATCAAATCCCTGCAAATCAACACTTGACTACAAATATTTAGCAAAGAAATTGAGCGAACTTTTGAATAATAAGCAAACATTTAAAACAACCAATCATCTCTGAATCTCAGATATGCAAAATTGACCTATCGCTTAAAAAGATTACTTCTTGAAACAATGAGAATAGGTTAGGGGTGTAAAAGAAAAAAAATATATATCAAGAAGTCTCGATCCTGGTTTTCATACCTACTGGCACTTATCAAGTACTAATCTACAACCTTGAAGAAATGAATTACCTCTCCAAGACTCACATCTGTGTCACTTTGTACTAGAGTCAGGTGACATTAACACTGATTTATTCAGATTCACGGTTGACAACTGCTGAAGAGTGCTAACAGGCATGAAACCTAGGTCCAAAGCTTCATGTGACAGCCTCCAATATGGACTAGACAGTTGATGCTTCATTTCAAAAGCCTATATAAATGGCGTTAAAATCCTTGTTTAGCCTCAGTGCAAATGTGAAATAATTACTGTCGAGAAGTACAGATGCACATATTTGTGTCTCAGCTGGAAAACGTTGCGGTATTCTGCAGAATATTAAGTGGCATTTAAAGTAAGCGATTACTGAAATTTATTGTGAAAAATGCGAAACACCTGTGTTACATCACACATCAAAACCATAACCGTTTCATTTTAGCTTATGCATTTGGTTGTTTTTATTATAGCCTGATTCCACACCGTATGTTTGGTACAAGTATGGAATTTTCAGCATGTGATATAGGTAGCCCAAATTTTACGGGCTGACCGATTGATATCAAGTGGTGTGCATCGGTAGAGGATCGAACTCCTGACCAATTGCATGGTCTGTGAGATTCTTAACCTCTGTACCACCGAAGGCTATTAAAATGTGCTGATATCATGTCCATAAGAACTTTGTATTTACTTGAGTTCATACAAGGAAGCTGTCTGCAGTTGTAATGGATTTTGTTTGAGTACATGAAGATTGTTCTAACCTTGGACTGTCTGGGGGGGGGCAAAGGTACTAATGTGCGATTCATGTTGACAGAATTTTGATCCCACCATTTTTTGGAATATTCTTCTTGATTTTAAGGTACTTCATTCAAATAGTTGAATTTTAGTCAACAAATGTTGTTCAACACACTTGTTCGGATAATCATCTTTTTTCTGTCCTTGCAGCATTTTATATGACTGTGCATCTCTTAAAGAAATTTTGTCAGCGATACAATTAAAGGCACAAAGATCGGTTCCATATATGTTCAGACGACAACAAGTCGATTTTAGTTATTATAGTAGTATTGTTTCCTTCAAGCTACTTAGTTTTATTGAGAAGCTTAGAACATCCTTCCAGACAGAAAATCAGACAGCTTGCTTTATTTCAAAGCGTTGTAATTACGCAATCCAGTTTAAAAAGCTTTTGTCTGAGCTACAAATCTTCTTTTTTATTTCAGAAAGGCACAGTGACCAAAAGGTGGAGGAAATGCACCATCATTCAGATTGAGATCAGAGTATACAGATCAAGTTTAAAGTCTCTTTACCTATTCACTAGTAAAAATAATGGCACGACATACATTAACTATCATTCACTGTAATTTTTACAGGCATCTATGCATATCAATTTGATATTAATCACAGTCTTACAAAATGTTCAAAGCGGAAATCAGTATTCGTCACCAGGGCATAATCAAATGCCATAGAAGACTCAGGTGATACATGAACGCGGTGGCTGGTCTATTCGTTTTTTCTGAGTAAAACGAAATATTAACTATCAAAGCCAGTGTGACTTCATTTTTCACTTTCGCATGGCGCCAAAATGTTGTTTATTAGTTAGGCAATTTAATTTGCTTATTGCTTATCAATCTCTCTTATCTCAAGGTCATTTGAAAATTTGTTTAAATTAACCCTGAAAGTATTCAGGCGCTGAATTAAAATTAACAAAAAAAGAATATGATATCATATTTACACATATTAAATACTTACAGTTTCTTTCCACAACGATGCAGTGTAAATGGTGTACATGAAGCAATAATTGAATGACCATCAGGTAAACGCCAATATGCACAATGATGATATCTAAATAGAAAATTTTAATTTCTAAAATAATTCACTCCTTACTATGATGAAATGCAAATAATGTACTGAAAATATAAAATGTAACTAGTGTAATGCGTTTAGTCCTTTGTTTGGTAGAGAGTGAATTCCATCAGTCAGGTATGCGATGTGACCACCATGCTAGTTAGTTCATCATCACTATGCACTGTGAATTGTTGTTATTAGATGGTTCGAGGCAACTGGTCATGGGAAGCCTTGGACCTAGGTTTTGTGCTAGTTGTCACTCACCAGTCAGCAAGGCATATCTGCAGTCTTCAAGGAAGTCATGTCCCTTCTGCGATTCAAATACGCGCCACCCAATACTGCAGCCAGAGATGTTACCACTAAACTATTAGATTTCACGACTGAGATTCTTCAAGGTTACAGGTACGCTTTTTTGTCAATTTCTAACTAGCACAAAACCTAGGTCGGAGGCTTCCTGCTGATCGCCTTCAACCATCTTATACTTACAGAAGGTAAAATACCACCTTGGACTCTTCAGCTAGATCTACTCGGATCTTAGTGACAAACTGTGTTTCTAGTAAGGCCTGAAAATACTACCTAATTAATTAAAATGCTTAAGTACATCTCACTTCATAAAGCGCGAGTACGTCAAGTTAGTGAGTCCTACACAGTGTGTATACAAATTTTCCTAGATTACCTCAATATACACCTCAAATTAAGGAGCATTGAAGTGGAAATCATATTGCTGTTAAGTAAAATAACATAGAAATGTCCACGGAACTGTGTGGAATCCAATTACCTGATTCTAATAGAATAAAATCTACTGAATTCTACCGAATTAATAAATAATTATAAGGAGACTCATGAATGACAATCATTAGGAAACTACAGTGGACATTGTATTCTTATCAGTAAGTCTGCTTTCTTCTCAGAAGCCTAGTGTATAACGATTTGGGTTTAAGGAACGTGTGTGCTGAGGTTAAGTCATATCAATCACTGGAAAGCTTGCCCATTTAGATGACTAAATTTAAGAATGACGAAAGATAGATTCAGGATACCACTGCTAGCCTCAAATTGCAGTAGAATCTTTCAGTCTCTTTTCCTAAAATCCATATTACCTTGCCTAATTGAAAGTATTATCAACATTTCGAGTATTTATGTGTTTACAACATGATTCCTATTGCTAAAACTTAAAAGTTTAAAAGTCAGTTGAAAATTTTGCGATAGAATTGTAGGACACTGAAGGAGTAACGGTGGAAGATAACAGAAGTTGAAAGGGACTACTTTATTTCGAAAAAAACACGTTATATTTATACATTTTCAACAATCTTAAAAGTCGACTAGGTCAATGGACATCAAAATCCTTCTGATTGGTTGGCAACTGGCTCAAGATTAAACAAGCTTGTCCAATAAGAGTAATTTATGACCACAATGTAAACTAAATCCAGATTTGAGGAAATAACACTTCTCTCTACCTGTGTGTGTAGCCATCAATCTGAAATGCTTATTTCAATTCTGACCGCTTCCTACCAATCTGCACGCGACATAAAGACAGTACAGAGTGAAATTTCCTCTTTCTTGATTTTGTAAATCTTTAGATTTTCGGTGCAACGAGTTAGTGTTATAAGCGATACATCTTCGCACTATAAGATCACCTCCATAGGGCAAAAAGTAATAAGTTGTCTAACCTGGTTCACTTAGTAGGCACTTTTACTCTCTAGCTTGATATGTCAAACAGATGGCAGCATACTGTGTAGTACTTTGACCTCTGTTAAAATGGATTCTGAGTTTTATTCAAACCGGATACTTGACAAGATGAAATGAGAGTATTTCTTTGAAGTCGATTGCTGCCTAATTACTACTACTACGCAGGTTTTATCGTATGAAGCAGCCATCGAATATCAACTAGTTTAGTTTTTTACCTTGTTGTGCGACTTAGTCAAAAGTCTGTCGATGAAATATGTCCAGTGAAAAAGAGAAGACATTCAGTGAAGAGACTCTTTTCGGAGAATTCATTCACATAGCCGCACAATCGTATTTATATACAAATATTATTTGTATGTGTGTGTACATGGGGTTTGTCAAGTTTACATAATTAATCAAGTAATAAATGAATGATCTAATATTGAAACAAGGTGAATCAGACACCAACTAAAGTAAAATTGAGTTAGTAAGTTAGATGATGTAATATAATTGACTGAAATGTTTCTACTTAGGTCAGGGTAGCTACAGAGGTAATTACAGGCAGAGACTAAGTACAGGTCGGGTAGAGAATAATGCCATTAAATTAAAACTGAAATTGGCCAAATAAGTCGGATAACGTAACATGAATGACTAGAAATTGAGCGTTGGTCAAGTCAGTAACAGTGGTAGTGAGGTGTAGAAATTAAATCGGGTGGGTGGGGGTAGAGAACAATAAAGTTGAAAATGTAAAATATTACAATTGAAATACAAAGTAATACGAATGAAGAGACAGAAAACGAAGATTAGGTAGAATTTACTTGTCGGGTAATAAGATAGATTAAGTCCATTGGAAGTGTAGTGACTGAACGAACTTCTTATGTATGCAGAGTTCAGGGCTTAGCAAGTGAGTCGCCACTGCTTCTGCAGTTTGAAGAAGTCTGATTCGTACACATTTAGGAAGACCGCTTCTCGTCTCCCCATCTCAAACAACTTCGCAGGCAAAAAGAAATGTTATATAAATGCAAAGACAAGTTAGGACTTAAAAACAGATGCTCAAATCAAATCTGAAATCAAAAATCTTAATGCTATCTATAACCAAACACTTTTATCATGCAAATCTCCTAACAGCATGTGGAAATTTTTCAATGAAATTACTGGCAATAGTAAGCGATGTAATGTTTTTCCCTCTTGTGATGTTAATGCTCTTAATCTGTCTTTTTACGCTCTCCTTCTACTATAACCACTTCTAACGTTACTAATCTTGTAGCTGATAACTTCCAGGACTTTAACACTCTTGATGTTTTAAAATGTCTTAAAACTCTTAAGCCCTCACATAGTCTTGGCCCTGATGGCATACCTGCATATGTTCTAAAACAATGTGCAGATGCTTTATGTTCTCCTCTAACTAATATCCTAAATGCTTCTTTCTCCGAAAACGTTGTACCTGTTCCATGGAAAGACATTAAAATAGTCCCTGTCCCTAATAGCAAGAACGTAAAGTTCAGACCCATTGCCATCACTTCCCCGTTTCTAAAGCTCATGGAAAAACTAGTACTTCTTAAACTTGAACCCTCCCTTAAAAGCTTCGAAGACCCCAAACAATTTGCCTACAGACAGGGTAGGAGTACTTTAGACGCTGCAGCCGTCTTACAAATTAGTATTGTCCGCTGCACGTTTCTTGACTTCACTTCTGCTTTCGACTCTGTACCTAGATGTCTCTTGCTAAATAAGCTCTCCATGACACAAACCGAGTCCTGGGTCACTAACTGGTTGCATTCCTACTTTTCAAACAGAATGCAGTACACCGTATACAAAGGCGAATCCTCCTCTGCTGTGCTCACTGAAGCTGGTGTCCCCCAAGGTGCTGTACTCTCCCCACTTCTCTTTTCTTTCTTTCTACATGACCTACCATCTTCAAATGACATTAACTTTGTCAAATATGCTGATGACCTAACTGTATCTTTACCTGTCAAATGTCAAAGTGACTGCTCTAAACTAAATGGCTTCTTATCAGAAATCAGCCAATGGTCCAAGGAAAACGGTCTCACCTTAAACCCCTCCAAATGCCAAACAGTTAATTTCACCTTTAGGCACAAATCTGACCTAAACAAACTGGTTAGCACTCACGAGGTGTGCAACATAGATGGCACTGAAATTGAAACCAAGTCGGAAATTAAATACCTAGGCGTCACTCTATCTTCTGATCTTTCCTGGTCGTCTCATATCTTGACGATTTCCAAGAAAATATACCGTCTTACCTTCTACATCAAGAAGTTAAGACATTCTGGTGTAACCCAACCCTTACTCCTACAATTTGTTAACTCCCGTATTCTGCCTATTATTCTCTATTGCTCCCCCTTAGTCTTTCCTGGGCTATTGAAGAAAGACTATACCTTATTACGTAGGATGTTAAAGGTTGTCAGCAGGGTAAGCAGTTTGCCACTTAGCCAGCTTGTTAATATTCTGGTGGACAGGCACATGGACTCATGTGAAAAATGGGCGAAATCCATTTTATCTGACTCACAACACCCTCTACATTCACAACTCTCCCCATGTATCTCTTCAGGGAAAACCAGAAGCCTATATAGGAAACTATATGCCCGCACTAGTAAGTACAAAAACTCATCCATACCCTACCTAGCTCGAGTTCTGTGCGATAAAGAAAGCGTTAGGCGGGAAACCTTTAACTTATTAAATAGTCAGTAGAACAAATGGATCTCGTCTTTCCAACTCACATCATTTACAGGTACAACGTTTTCTCTCTACCCTTTTTTTCTCTTTCTGTATTTATTTTTGTTATGTGCTGTTTTGTCTGTCTCTTCCTTACAAACTCTACTTAAAACATTCTTGTTCGTTCTTTCACACTCTGTATATCTCGACCATTTTGCTATCGCTTACGCCAGTAAATATGCTAGTAGTATCTACTTTTCTAACACCTTCAAACACTCTGCTTAATTTTGGCTTTGCTACCGACATGTAATATGTTGTTGTCAAAACTGACTGAGATAACTTTAATCTATGTAGAACTTTATTTATTGCTGACGTACTAACTGGATGCAATATTGTAGTAAAAATGCTGAGAATTCCATTCTGTATCACAAGTACTGATTTGAAATAAAACTATTATCTTATCTTATCTTACTCTGTAGACGACTTTAAAACTTGTTTTGGGCGTAGCTTGGTGTCCGGATTCTATCAATGTTCTAAGAATGAGCTGCAGGGACATCGTTTTTCTCCTTTGTAAATCAAGTTGGTAAGTGTTCTGTGATATGTTTGGAAAGCAAACGCTAGGTACATACCTGGCCCCACACGAGCAGGTGAATCGATAAATACAC